TGGGACAGAGGTGGCGGGGGACAAGGATTTAGCTGGGGTGGATGGAGAGGCCCCTCAGAAGAGGGGACATTTGGTTGAAACCTGAATGAAGAAAGGTGGCCAGTAATCCAGTAGGGAAATGTGTTCCAGGCAGAAGGAGCATCAGGAGGAGGGCCAGATCTGGGAACAGGCCAAAGCTTGTTCAGGGGACGCAGGAGACAGCAGTGTGGCTGGCATACAGGGACCCAGCTGGAAGGGAATTGGGAGGTCAGGGGCGGCCCCAGCACGCCAGGCCTCAGCCTCTTATTCCAGCTGCAGTGAAGCCACTGGAGGGTATGAGCCGAGGAGAGGCCTGGCCTGGGTTTTAACAGCACCTCGTGTGGCCCACCTGCCTCTCCAACCTCAGCTCCCCTGCCCTTTCTTCCCCTCACCGCACAGCCAAGTTGCATTTGGGTTCGTGGCACACACACTAGACTCACTCCTGCTTTGCGGCCTTGGCATCAGCTGTTCCTTCTGCTGGTCATTGTCTTCTCTGCTCTGCACAGCTGGCTCCTCCTTCTCATTCAGGCCTCAGCACCCCTACCTGCCACCATCACATTCTCTTGCCAAATGTTTTGTTTGCGTCTTATGCTTATGCTTACTTATTTCCTTATTTGTTTGCCTTGCTTTGTAGAATCTCAGTGCCTGGCACAGCAGGTTCTCAGAAATTAAGGGATGAATTTAGGGATGAATGAATGCCATGTAGCTGGCACTGTGCTGCTAGATGAACAGAGATATGCTGCTAGATGTGAACAGAGCAGAGGGCGCCAGCCTTCATGGCACTCACAGTTCAGCTACATGTTTCCCCGCTGTCACATACATTGTCTGTCTCCTGAGCTGCCCAAGAAGACAGCCACACCACACACTGCGGCCTGTGGGTCAAACCTAACCCACAAAGATGTTTTGTTGGACCCATTCCATGTTTTAAATTTTTTTGATTAGCTGGGTGTGGTAGTAAACACCTGTAGTCCCAGCTACTCAGGAGGCTGAGGCAGGAGGATCACTTGAGCCCAGTAATTCAAGATTGTACCACTGTGCTCCAGCCCAGGTGACCTAGTGAGACCCCAACTCTTAAAATTATTTTAAAAATAAAAAAATTGAGCTAACATTTAAAAATTAAGTCAGTTTCACTTACAAATTTGGACTTCTGGTTTCTCTTGGAAAATGGAAAGCTGTGGCCATGTGAGGTTTGTGCACCTGAACGACAGGATTGTGGCTGCCTTTCAGATAGGCACATTCTCTCCAGTTCCCACCCACTCTGTTCTCCCCCTGACCACCAGGGTCAGTTGTCTTTTGTCACTGAATTTGTAGTATTTTCTTCCTGTATCTGTGTCTCTACCAAAAGTTGGACTGTGAAAGGTGAATGGGTCACGGGAATCAAGAAAAGAGGATATTCATTCATTCAACAAACATTTATTGATAACCCACTTTGTGCCAGGCACAGCTGGGGATATAGCAGTAGACAACACTGCCTCCCACCTCGGGCCCCATTCCACACCCTGTAAACCACACCTTGTGCAGGGAGGGGTTCCCTTGGCCGGCTTCACTTTATTTACCCAGTGTCCTGTCCTTCTGGACACTGGAGTTACTCCCCTGATGGGGAAGACTGCACCTTGTGTCTAGGGACATCTGTGAAGACTTCACCATAGTATCCACCGAGCACCCACTGTGTACCAGCCCATCAGGGGGTGGCACAACAAAACTGCTCAATCAATACTTGTTGAACGAATGAACTAATTGCACCTCTCTCCTGGACAGAGAGTGGTTTAAGGTTGTTTCTCCTGGATTCACCTCAAAAGATAGGCACATGCCAGGTGTTCACTTAATGTCAGTTGAACTCAAAGGTCTGGCTGGGATCAGAGTGGAGGTCACAGCCCTTGGAAAGGCAGGGGAAGAGGCAAACGCGAATGCCCCATCCCTGCCCTTAAGTAGGTCAGCGAGTGAGGGAAGCCCAGCCAACCCCAAAGTGTCACGATGGGATGGGAGCGTGGGCTTCATGGAGGCCTCTGAGGAGCAGGGGCATCCCTCCACATGGGCCTGGGGCCTGAGGAGAGTATGAAGAGTGGCTGGGGGCGCGGGTCCCAGGCTGAACCTCAGCCCAGGGCAGGCCGTGGGTAGGAAGCTCTCCGCGGTGGCCGTAGCAGGTCAAAGGCGGCTGGGCCTTTCCTGGTCTGAGGTCCCCAGCCCTCCGCACTCCACCAGCCTGGCTGCACCTGAAATCCACCCATTTGGGACAAGGAGAGTTTTTGAGGGTGCGTAAGTCCCAGTGGCCAAGACGTGGGGGTCTGTCGGGCTCTCGGCGCACTCCGTGCAGTTGAAGCCACTTCCTCCGTGAAGGCTTCAGGGCAGAACGCGGGTTCTCTGCCGGGTACTCGGTCGCGCGGTCCGCACCTCCCCACACACCGGCCGCGGACGCTCCTGCGGCCCTGCGTGCCTTTTCGCACGAAGCCGGCGCCCAGCAAACACCCACCGGCTGAGCCACGAGTTGCTCAGCCAGGCCTTTGGGATCCCACGCCGCCTGGGCCCAGGCCCGGTTCAACAAGTGCGGACCGGGCCGCCCGTTCCCGCCCGGCGGCTTCGCGCCTCCCCAGGAGCCTCGGGCGCGCCGGGTTGGGCCGGCCCCAGTTGGACGAGTTTCGTGTCATCACCCGCGGAGCGTGCCAGCGCCGGTGCAAATAACGTTGCCCCCTCCCTCCCTGCTCCGCTCCCTCCGAAACCCCTGTTAGCAAACGCCGGTACGCCTGGCTGGGAGGTCCCGCTGGGCAGCCAGGGGCAGAGTGCCCGACGCCCGCCCCCCGCCCTGCCCGGCCGCCCCGCCCGGGCCGCGAGGCCACCTCACCCGCAGCGGAATGGAAACCGGTTCGACAGGTAACAAATAGGTGGGTTGTCACCGTTATTTCCCAACGCATGCGCCGTCGCTCCCCAGGCCACTCCAAGCTAATTAGATCAGATCACCGCCCCCCACCCCCCCCCCCCACCCACCAACACACACCGCCGCGAGCCAATAAAGCGTCAACCCGTCCGTCCGGCTCGCACTTTAAGACTTCCCGAGCGGCCGCGGGGACGCCAGTCGAGCCGGGAGACGCTTACCTGCCGCTTCCCGGTGCACCTGGCCTCAAGGGACCTCGTTTGCAGGGAAGACGGCGACACTCTGCGGAGTTGGAACCGGCGCGCGCCGTCCGGGCTCGGACCTTCCCCGGAACGTAGGGGCGCCTTAGCGACTCCTTCCCTGCTGTGCCCCGTTCCCGGCGTTCAGCCCGGCCCCGCAAAGGGGGGACGGTTCCCGGCTTCAGTTACGGAAGCGGCCCGTGTCCAGCGACGAGGGTTCGAAAATGCCCCGCGCGTTCCTGGTGAAGAAGCCGTGCGTCTCCACGTGCAAGAGGAACTGGAGCGAGCTCCCAGACGAGGAGCGCGGCGAGATCTACGTGCCAGGTGAGGCAGCCGCCCTCCGGCCTGGGACGCCCGCCACGGCGTCGAGGCTGCGGGCGGGCGCAGGTAGGTCCGCGGAGCCGGACGGCAGGCGCGGTGTGGGCTCCGGGGCTGAATGCGGCCGCGGCCCAGGCTGGGTGGGCCCGCGGCTCCCGACCCGGGGCACAGGGGGCGGGGGCGGGGCCGGCGGAAGAGCGCCGGTGGGGGCGGGGGCTGCATGGTGGAAGCGGAGCCGCTCCCAGGGCCTAGGGGGCGCGGAACCGCTTACCCCCACCCCCTGAACCGCGGCACAGAGGAGGCAGCGGGGTGTGTCACCGCTGAGAGACCCTCGGCTCCGACGTCGTAAATCCAGAAAACCGGGATTTGCATGAGGCGGGAGGAGGGCACTGGAGCAATGCCACTTTGGGGGGCGGGGAGCGAGCTGCAGTTTCGGCCGAGATTTGTGTTAAAAGACTCTGAGCTCCAGCCGCTCGCACAGGTCCTTCCTCCTCCCCGACAACACTGGTGGCCGGGTCGGAGTGAGGGTCGAGCCGGTGGGGGGTGTGGGCCCCCAAATTTTCGTGGGGCTCCGGCTCCTGGTCCCGCGCAGTGCGCCGAGACGGTAGGGCAGGCGCCCGCTGCGCCCCTCTTGCCCTTAAAGCAGAGGTGGGATCGGGTCTCACGTCTGCTAGAAACGCACTTCCTTCACCTTGGCGGAGGACACAATTGCATAGAAAGCAGCTGAAGGGAGCCCACCCCACAGCGGGGGGCCAGGCCCGGGGAAGCTGGTGTACCCAGTTATTTTTGGCAAACGCCTAGACAGCGTCGACTGTGAATGAGTAACCCGAGTTGCTTCTTCCTCCAGCGGCATCTTCCCCTGAACGCCCCAAGAACACTCCTATCCCTTCTGTCCTCCCCAACCCCCAACAAAGTCTTTGGTCTGGAGAAAGCCTGCTTCCTTCCGAACGCCCCCTCCCCAGGCCGTGGGGGCGGGGCGGGGACGCTCTGAACGCCCAGCCCAGCCCCTCCGAGGGGGGAGGGGGGAGTAATTAACCAACTGACTTTGACCCTTGATCTGCAGACTCCCTGGCACCGCCCCAGGCCTTGTAGGAAAGTGGGGAAATGAGGGCAGCAGTGAGGGGCCCTGTGAGGGCTCTTGCTCAGTTTCCCTCCTGAATCAGCTGTTGAAGACAGTGTGGTGAGGTCTTTGTGGCCTGTGGTGCTGGCAGGATGTTTCACAGCTTAACCTGATCTCAAGGGGACCCCTCTTTCACAGTTCCTTAAAACAAGGGAATGTGCCAGAAGACCCTGATAACCCCATTGGGGAAACTGAGGCAAAAAGGGACGTGAGTGGCCTTCTCACCTGTGGCAGATTAGGGTGTGGGCTCAGGATTCTGTTTATAGCTTCTTGCTTGGCCACCATCCCTGGTGAACTGGCTGGTTCTCTACCTGGGGGTTTGTGGGGGCACGCACAGCGCCGGAGCCCCCTCCCCGCTCGGCCCTCCGCCCTCACCTATGTTTGACTTGCTGCTTAGCTGCTCCTTGGAATCTGATAAACTGAACTTGGACCGTGGTAAAGGTGAGCTGAGCTCTGAGCCAGGCTCAGTGTGCTGTTATTTTTAGTTTTATTTCACATCCCAATCAGTAACAGATCATGTGTTGACTTTTACAAAGAACAAAGAAATTCCGTTTGTTGAAATCATTGACTTCTTTGTGTCCTAGCGATTTTCTCCACCACAGTTCTAGTGGCCACAGTGGAAGTGGCAGGGGAGACTTATGCCCCAGGGGCTGTCCCATCAGGTGCAGGGGAGGGCCTCTGGGTGGTCCGGGCCACCGGCTGCCACTGTCCAGGTGAGGGAGACCTGCCGGCTTCTCTGTAGGCTCCTCCAGGATGTGTGACGGGAGTCCAATCTCAAGGATGAAGGGAGAATTTGTCCTCATCTCTCTGGCAAGGAGAGAATCCTGTGGGTCAAGTAAAGGGTAGAAGATAGAGAACTTAATTTTACCTCTGAAAGCCATGTGGCCCACTGAAGAGTTTTCCCACAGTTTTTGGCAATGAGAAAGGGAATGTCCGCAGTCCACGCTCGGGTGCCTCAGATGGCTGGAGAGTGGGGGTGTGTTTTGTGCTGGCCTGTCCCCTGGCTGGGCCATTCCATCACCAGCCAACCATGACCCCAGAGCCAGCTGGGCACGTTTCCGTTCGCCTCACAGATTCCTGGAACGTTGTGACCAGCTAAGCGTTGACCCTACTTCCAGTGGAGGGCCCAGGAACGTGGGAGTGTTTGAGTTCTGACCTTGCTGCCAGGTTCCTCTGAGACCCTCAAAGCCTCCCAGAGACCACCTGGAAGGGGAAGGTTTTACTGGCCAGAGGTGCTGGGCCCCAGCCCGACAGCACTGATTCCAGGGCCTGAGTTTGACAATCACATCAGCCTCTCCCCCAGGTAGAGTTCTAGAGCTTCTCACTCCCAGGGCAGAATCTTTCCCCTGGGAAGAGGTGAAGACAGCTCCATGCATGCGCCCTGGAGACTTGAAAGGATTACTGGCTGGGAAGCCA